GCGCAGGTGAGTCTCGTGAAAATCAACGTTTGTTTACAGGATCAAAGGAAGCAAAGTTTCCTTACTTTAGCAAAGGAAAACCAGTCTCCTCTTGGCTTATATCAAAATTCTCCAACATTCTTCTTTACAAATCCTCGTTTTGTACTTCTAATAAGTGACCGGTGTTTTGTTTTGATCTCTCCCCTGCGCTTCCGCGTTCGTCACTTCTGAGCAGCGCATGCGCAAAGCCGAACTCATACGTCATCCGCCCGGAGCTGCTTCCGTTTACAACAGTGAGCGCAAGCTAGATTCAAGTGATTATTACGTTTTTAATATGGATATTTTTCTTACAAAAATGCATCAATTCACAACAGGAGGCCTTTGTTCAACCCCCAGAGCCGTGTGAGACACTTTTTTTTAATGGATGGGCACTTTTTATTTAACTTCTTTTGGACTGATGCATGCAACACCCGCTGAGTGGCATTAAACAGCTTGAAAGATCAAAGACCATTTTTATATAACTCCGACATATACACCTAGGATGGCTCTGGGGTGAGTAAAACACAGCCCAATTTTCATTTTTGGGTGAACTAACCCTTTAAATGTCCTAATTGAACTATGGCCTAATCCTGGTTTAGTCTAAGCCCTGTCTGTGAAACCGGGCCTAAAGCTGATAAGCAAGTATGGATGGATTGGATTACGGGTCTAGGAAAATGGAATAAAATTAACACCAAACTCAATTTCCCTATGGTGTTTGTGAACAGTGTATGTACTGTACAATGAAATAGCATAGAACATATATCATAATTACATAGCTATTAATGCCCACTTGATATATAAGTGGGAATATGATGACAAGAAATCAAAAAGGTAAAGAACGAAAAAAAAAGAAAAAAAAAGAAAAGAAAAAAAAATCACCCCTGAATGGACCCTTTGCCCACCAACAATGCATTGATGTTTAGATGACCCATCTAACATCAGTTTCTCCCTCTGTTTCCTTCTCTCTCAATCTTTTTATCCAACAAATAAACATCCCAGTGAAGTGGTTCATGTGACCAGAGAAACAGGAGGTCAATTAAAAGACCACCTCACAGATGCTAAAATGGTGTGAAAGGGAGTCAACAGACAAAGAAGGAGTGAAGGAAAGAAAGGAGGCTCTGAAAATATCAGTAAGTGCGCCACTCTATCAGATGGGCCCAGTGGAGCAGAGGTATGAGAGTACTGGCAGGTTGACACCCCACCCCTGTCGCCCTTCACACGGTGTCATGTGTGTGTGAAGGGGCCGTTAGCAGAAGTGATCATCCTCTTCATCTTTCATTCCCTTCAGCCTGAGCCTTGCAAAGTCCTCAAACACAAAGTCATCATCCTGTGAGAAATTACTGAAGACAAAAAGAAATGAGAGTTATGTTACACAAACAAACGAGTTTCATTCTGTGAACGAGACACACAGCCAACTCACTTTGTTTCAAACTCTATGAGGTTGGCGTCCACAGGGACATCTGACTCTGGCACAGCTGTGGACGACAGGGATTAGAAAAGAATTAGGCAATCTGTGCAAAAGGAAAAGCATGCAAAACATAATTTCCCAAAGTTAAATCAAAACTACACCTACATCATCAAAACTCATCATACAAGACATATGCGAAAACATGCTCATAATAATTCAGTAATATTAAGTTGATATGATAATATCTTATCATTCAAAATTGAACTATACTACCAGTATTATGTTTAAAGCTAGCATGGACAATGCTAATTTGCGAAACATTCATATTTTTATATACACATTCATATATCACGTTTAATGTAATGCTGTCATTGTTACTCAAAACAACTTTGCATAAATATAATGTAATAATAATAAAAATCAATTATTTAAAACCATTTATAACAACAATAATCTCACTATATAATCAGACTACACCAATACAACAACAACATACTACTACTACTACTACTAATTATTATTATTATTACTACTGGTGTAGTCTAATGATTATTGAGTTGTTTCAAAAAGCAGAAAAAAGGTAGTTATCAGACATTTAAAAAAAATATAAAATATATATTTCTATATGGGTCAAGTGTATAATAATAATAATAATAATAATAATAGTAATACATTGTTTTTAAGTTGTTGCTGTTGTTTTATTGTGACAAAAACCCCCAGAAAAAGCTATAATTAAATATCAGCTATCAGATATTTCAATATACATGTTTAAAAATGATCAATAAAGAGATTATATAAAATAAAATGAATGTATAATGACAAACTTGAGCTGGTACCTGACTGCGGTCTAGAGTTGGGCTGTTCGGAGGGCTTTGGGTGCATCAAGACAAAAGGCAGCTCCACCGACACATCACTAACAAAACAGAAGTGTTTGGATTCAGTGCTATGATGTTCTGTACAAATATACAAGTCTGAATTATTTCTTTGTCAAATGACATATTCACCCTCCACGAGACACCACGAGCTTGACTTTAACTCTGTAGGAAACCAAGATTCCCAGGACCTCCTTATTGGACACATCCTTTACTCTGTAAGCACAGGGAAACACATGCTGAATGTACAGATGTTTTGGTTACAAAAACCAAACCAGCTGTTTGAGAGGTTCTGCTCGAGGGTTTATGGACACACGGGTTGGGTTAACTCTGTAAGAACAAAAACCTCTAAAATGTAATAAAGCTCAAAATGCTTCGCCTTTGCATGTGATGAACGGGTGTCAGCTGAAGGCCACTTACATGGTACTGGAGGCCAAGTTGGTGTCTTCGTGTTTTAGCTGTCCATCCAGAGCCAGACCCCTCTTCTCTCGGTTATTGCTCAGTGTGGGGGTGAGTGTGTACACCTTACAGAACGTGGAGCTGGGTGACATCTGGTCACTGCACACGGCAAAAACAAAAGAGAGTGAGTCTTGTGCCTTATGCATATTAGAAAAACAAGCATTGGCCATATTGTGCAACTTTTTTTAGTCTTCAGTACTTCAGTAAAAATAGGTTAAAATTGTATATGGTGAAAATTGTGGGTAAATGTATTTTTGGGGGTGAATGGAGGTTAAATTAATCTATAATTAAAATGAAAAATAAAGTATAAATTTATAAATATATTTAAATATTAACAAATACTGTAAGTATTTAAATAATACTACAATAACACTGATAGTGAGACTATACATAAAACAAGGCAAAATCTATATTGGAACTTTGGATTGATTTCAATCAACTTCATCAACATAGTAGTCTATTATTCCAGGTAACCACTAGAGGGTGCTATGGGGTCTGTGGAAAAGTAAAAAAAAAAAAAATATATATATACACTTCTTTTTTTTTACAGACAGTATTACATTTTCATTCTGATTTCTAAACAATAGAAATCACTTGATCAAATCAAGAAGTATTTTATCTTACAGTAAAGACAAAAAAAAAACCTTTACAGTAAATTTGCCTCTATAGATTGCCTCTCGTAAGAAGATTATATTTGAGGGTCTGTGGCATCAAAACTTTAAATATATATATACACTTCTTTTTTTTTACAGACAGTATTACATTTTCATTCTGATTTCTAAACAATAGAAATCACTTGATCAAATCAAGAAGTATTTTATCTTACAGTAAAGACAAAAAAAAAAACCTTTACAGTAAATTTGCCTCTATAGATTGCCTCTCGTAAGAAGATTATATTTGAGGGTCTGTGGCATCAAAACTTTAAAAAAATCCCTACTGTAAGTGATGGTAGCTGTTCTAGAACTAATAAACCAATACTCACAATCACATAATAAACCACATAATACTAAGCTTTCTGCGTCACACATAAGGGCTGCCAAGTGAACATGCAAAATGACTGACTAGCGCCTCAAAGTCTTCTGGCTAAATAAAATAATCTGGTCAGAGACTGCTGTTTACAGAGTCTAGAGCTTTCAAACGTGTGACATTTAAGGACACCTAATTCAGTGTTCCTTATCAGATCATAAGGACATGTCTGTGTGCCAATCCATAGCAATCCCATAAAGCATCTTGCATGTGTTGGATTAGGCAGCGCTTTGGATGAGATCAGAAAAGACAATCTAGTTTGACAAACTGTAAACTGGAGTTTATGGGGACATAAACAATGCTTTAGGACTAAAGATCAGGAGAACATATGGTGAAGAAAAGACAACAGATAAAGAGGAAAAGAGATATATTCAAGTATCTTTAGTATGCTACCCATACATCATTTGTTTATCTGAGTTAATGTCAAAAAAGCTGAATACAGGGCAACCACCCGGGTCAATCAAGCTAGAAGCTAAACTAGCAGTTGACCTCAAAAAACAGAACATCTCCGGACAATACAAAAAGCAAAAAAGGACAGCTACAGTCCTTATTTTGGGGGGTAAAAGAGGAGCAACAATGCCTCATCTCATGGAGAAGTTGGAAAAAAGGGGTCCAAGAGTCATCATCTACAACCAGGGATGGGCTCAGGGTCACAGGAGCCAAACCAACAGTTAGATATGAGACTCACCATGATGAATGTCGGCCCACAGATTTGCTGTAGGTGTCATGGGAGTAAAGAACCACATCTGTAACCTGTAGCACTGAGAGAGAACAGTCTTCGTAGTCCTATCAGCACTAAAAGACTACTGACTATGAGGTGAGACGGGACCATCATGGGACTGTCAGCAGAGGGACGAAGGGATTGAGGCAATTGGTGTCACGTCAAAGGGATGCTACTATTAAAAGCCGGAATGAACACTACAGAAAGGCTGAGAAGGCCATAGACCGGTCCAACTTTAAGTTATTAACAAGGGTAGAGTCGCTCTTAGGTATTTGGAAGGGAAGGAGCAAATCTTTTTAACAAGAATAAACTGGAGTTTCCACAGAACAGGTGATTTCACAAGCATGGCTTCAGCTTTAGCAACAGCTTGATTCAATGGGTGAAAATATTTCGAGGCACCTTGGTAATGTACAATAAACATTAAAGGGACAGGCCACCCAAAAATGAAAATTCAGTCCTCATTTACTCAACCTCATGTGGTTCCATACCCATATGACTTTCTTTCTACTGTGGAAGACAAAACCCTTTTGGTTCCCCTTGACTTCCATTATATTTTTGACCATACAATGGAAGTCATTCTTCAGTGTTCCACAGAAGAAAGTCAGAGGTTTGGAATGACAAGAGGTTCAGTTCAGTCAATGACGATGATTTTTATCTTTGGGTGGACTATCTCTGTAATTACTACAAATCTATTCTGACCACACAAAAACCTTGGTGAGATGTGTATTGAACACACTCCTACTTTACAGCAACAAAGGCTGAGCAAGAAGAGACGACTGAGGTAAAATCAGAAGCAAGACCCTTTAAATCAGAAGAGATCATACGGAAAGATGACGGAGGACTGAATATGAGGGAGGTGAAGATGGGGCAGAGTACTAGAGAGAGATGGAGAAAGTGGAACAGAGGGCTACTTACTCAGCTTCTACCTGAGCCACAGGACATTTGTACTGTGCGGTGCTGAACAAACAGATATCGGCATACTGTCGCACTGTGGGGAGAGAGCAGGGATACACTGCGGGGTTACCAGGGTCAGGAGGGAGCTTACACAAACCAAACACAATTAAATCACAGGCGGGACAGCTGACATTCACACTAAACTACACGAGCACAAGAGCACCTCAAGGGAAAACGTGAGAAAAGAAGCATGATCTAAACAACACAAGAATAGATAAAAAACACATTACAATCACATACATGTGTACCGTGCAGTAAGCATTGTTCCCGTGAAGTCAACATGACATCAAAATGAAAAGTTTGGGGTCAAGATTTTTTTATTTGCTGAATAAAATAGGAATTAAATTGACAAAGTGACAGTTATGACACGTAAAACGTTACAAAAGATCCCCATTTCAAATAAACGCTGTTCTTTTGAACTTTCTAAACTAGAAAAAAAATTCCATCACAAGTTCCACAAAAATATTAAGCATCTCAACTGTTTTCAAAATTGATTAGAAGAAATGTTTCTTGACCACCAAATCAGCATGTTAGAATGATTTCTGAAAGATTGCATGACGCTGTATAACTGCTAAAAGTCAGCTTCATCACAGGAATAAATTACATTTTAAAACATTAAAACAGAAAGCAGTTATTTTAAACTGTAATAATATTTCACAATATTACTGTTTTTACTGTATTTATGATCAAATAAAAGTCTTAATAAAATCTTACCGACCCCAAACGTTTAAAAATTAAGAGTACCTGCACCTGCACGAGATACAGATGCAGGACAAAAGCAACAGGAAAGGAAAAGGGGAAGAGGAAAGGATTTAAGCTAGCTGATGTTAGCACTTCTAAATGCAACTCTAAAGCATAAAAACATTAAACGCTCAGTGAAAAACATTCAGTGTTTTTACTTGCGAGTTGTAAATGATTGTAGCATTTACTGTAAATATAAGTAAAAAAATAAATAAAAAAAGTTCACCTCACCAGAGATTTTAATTCGTTTAACTGTTTTGGTGGAGTTGTTGGTGACATGAACGTTAACACTGATAGGTTCACCATGGTAGTAGAGCTGAAAAGAAGAAGGAAATCAAATCAATTCCTTTAATAAATGTGCTTAATATTTAACTTAATTTGCTTTTACCTAGTAGTCCTTAGTTTGCACTATTTGTTTTATACACTCAGGCAATAAAGTAAACAAAAGAAGCATGATCTAAACAACACAAGAATAGATAAAAAACACATTACAATCACATACATGTGTACCGTGCAGTAAGCATTGTTCCCGTGAAGTCAACATGACATCAAAATGAAAAGTTTGGGGTCAAGATTTTTTATTTGCTGAATAAAATAGGAATTAAATTGACAAAGTGACAGTTATGACACGTAAAACGTTACAAAAGATCCCCATTTCAAATAAACACTGTTCTTTTGAACTTTCTAAACTAGAAAAAAAAATTCCATCACAAGTTCCACAAAAATATTAAGCATCTCAACTGTTTTCAAAATTGATTAGAAGAAATGCTTCTTGACCACCAAATCAGCATGTTAGAATGATTTCTGAAAGATTGCATGACGCTGTATAACTGCTAAAAGTCAGCTTCATCACAGGAATAAATTACATTTTAAAACATTAAAACAGAAAGCAGTTATTTTAAACTGTAATAATATTTCACAATATTACTGTTTTTACTGTATTTATGATCAAATAAAAGTCTTAATAAAATCTTACCGACCCCAAACGTTTAAAAATTAAGAGTACCTGCACCTGCACGAGATACAGATGCAGGACAAAAGCAACAGGAAAGGAAAAGGGGAAGAGGAAAGGATTTAAGCTAGCTGATGTTAGCACTTCTAAATGCAACTCTAAAGCATAAAAACATTAAACGCTCAGTGAAAAACATTCAGTGTTTTTACTTGCGAGTTGTAAATGATTGTAGCATTTACTGTAAATATAAGTAAAAAAATAAATAAAAAAAGTTCACCTCACCAGAGATTTTAATTCGTTTAACTGTTTTGGTGGAGTTGTTGGTGACATGAACGTTAACACTGATAGGTTCACCATGGTAGTAGAGCTGAAAAGAAGAAGGAAATCAAATCAATTCCTTTAATAAATGTGCTTAATATTTAACTTAATTTGCTTTTACCTAGTAGTCCTTAGTTTGCACTATTTGTTTTATACACTCAGGCAATAAAGTAAACTTGGCTGAAAAATGAAACTAAAAGAGCAACTTCAATAGCAGCCGAGTAAAAAGACATCAATACTTGACAATTCAATAAATTATTAGCGGAGATCAATAGAAGTCTGCCTGTGGCTAGATGCATGTTCACACCTCTTTATCTAGCGAGGCCTCGAGGTGAAGGGAGCGGTCAGACATAAGGAAGCTGCGTGTGGTCTCCACCATTGGCTGTGGACCAGGCTTCTCTGGAGCGTATTGCACCTTGCGAATGACCAACCGCACCGAGTTCCTGTTAAGCAGAGGCCAGTTAGAAACAAATTCTGTTGTACTGACATTGCAAAGACACATAACATTTCTCCATCCGAGTAAAGATGTACACTACCATTCAAAAGTTTGGGTCTGTAATTTTTTAATGTTTTAGAAAGAAGTCTACAAGTCTATAAACTTTATTGTGAAATATTATTACAATTGAAAATAACTGTTTTCTATTTGATAGATATTTTAACATGTTATTTAATCCTGTGATGGCAAATCTTTAGTGTCACATGATCCTCACATAATACACTGATTAAGTGCTCAAGAAAACATTCTTATTATTATCAATGTTGAAAACAGTTGTGCTGCTTAATATTTCTTTGGAAATCATGATATTTTTTCCAGGATACTTTGATGAATAGAAAGTCTTTTTTGCTTTTAAAGCAGCATTTCTTTGAAATGGAAGTCTTTCCTGACACTTTTGATCAATTTAATACATCCTTGCTGAAAAAAGTATAAATGTGACCCTGGACCACAAAACCAGTCATAAGGGTCTTTTTTTTTCAAAATTGAGATTTACTCATCATCTGAAAGTTGAATAAATAAGCTTTCCATTGATGTATGGTTTGTTAGGATTGGACAATATTTGTCTGATATACAACTATCTGAAAATCTGGAATTTGAGGGTGCAAAAAAAATCAAAACATTGAGAAAATCGCCTTTAAAGTTATCCAAATGAAGTTCTTAGCAATGCATATTACTAATCAAAAATTAAGTTTTGATATATTTATGGTAGGAAATTTACAAAATATCTTTATGGAACATGATCTTTACTTAATATCCTAATGATTTTTGGCATAAAAGAAAAATCGATAATTTTGACCCCTACTATGTTTTTTTGGCTATTAAAAATAAAAAATAGAAATATACCCAAGCGACTTAAGACTGGTTTTGTGGTCCAGGGTCACAAATTTCTTTAGAAAAAAGAAAGAAAGAAAAATAAATAATAATAATAGGAAGAAGAAGACGCAATAATGCACCGGTAAATATTTCCAATATATTGTACCTGATAAGTAAACTGGCCACTTAATGTAAATAAACAGTGAAAAAAGAAAAGAAACTCACAAGGAGCGACACTTTACCGTTTGTGAGTCTTCTCATCCACAGTTTTGGCACAGAATGCCCTGACCTCAAAGTCAACTCCGCATGCCTAAAAGTCAAAATACAGTGATAAATGACCACTTAAAGGAAAGAAAAGGCATTTTAAACAAAGTGTGCCTGCAAGTAGCTTAGGGATACACTGGTTAATTAAAAAGTCGTCTAGTTTAAGTTGATTTTGAAAAGATGTAGCTTTGCACATTCCTAGCCTCATTACCTTTCCTGTGTCCTCTGGGCCGGGCTGTAAAGTCACTGAGCAGGGAAGGTTCTGAGGAATCTGTTCAACAAATAAAATTACTTTAGCAAACTAACTTGGTCACAATCTGGTCACTCACACAAAGTGAATATAAAATTCTAAGTGTCACACAGGAAAGTTTTTAGCGAATTTCACTGGGTCTGTAAAGTTTCCATTTTTACTGTGGTGTGTAAAAGAGTATCAATAATAGTCTTGCATTCAAATCTGCTTCCCTCTAGATATACACTGGCTCAAAACACATATGTACAGCTGAACATTACAAGCACTGAAATGTGTAAGTGAAAGAAAAGGCAAAAGTAAAGAGTCACTGTGAAGTTGAAGGGGTATGCGTTCTGGCCCAGCTTCTTGAGCAGTCTCTCCTGTAGGCGACTGAGAGGTTTGCGCTCCTCAGGCAGAGGGGGATATGCTTGGAAGCTGGAAATGAAGAGATCCTTTCGGAAAGACAGGCCCAGCACGTCCAGATCTTCACGGCCATAACGGAAGGCACACGTCAGGGTCACGAACACTGGTAAAAAGGCACAGAGCAGTGGAGAAGAGAAGAGAAAAAACACTAATATATAAATACATAATAAACAGTTTTGATTAAAATAATTTATTGTAAAAAAAGAAAAAGTCATTACAGGCAGCACAAAAAACAGGAGATACAGTAAATCAATATGTGTTACCTTTTCTGTCTTTAAGGTATTCTGGGTCAATCAAGAGCACCCCATCTAAAGTCAGACAAAATACACAGAGTGAGTGAGTGAGTAAGAAGAGCGAAAAGACAGACTAAGAGAAACCGCAAGGGTACCAGTAAAAATAATGCTGTCAAATTAGTACTTTAATTCAGTAAAACTTTTTTTAAAATAAATAATATTACTAAAAATTTTACATTTTCCTTTACATTTTTTTATTTATTTATATATACTGTGAGTCCACAGTCTGCACAGTATTTGAACAGCATTAACTAAAAAATATATGTGCAAAATAATATGATTTGAGTCATAGAACACAAAGTAAAAACTAAAAATATTTTGCATATTTACTACCATTCAAAAGTTTGATGTCAGTATTTAAAAAAAAATAAATTAATACTTTTATTCAGCAAGGACACATTCAATTTGTGACAGTAAAGACACTTAAGGTTACAAAAGATTTCTATTTCAAATAAATGTTGTTCATTTAAACTTTCTATTCATCAGAGAATCCTGTAATTCTCTGAAAAATGTATGTGTTTTCCACAAAAATATTAAGCAGTACAACTGTTTTCAACACTGATAATAATAAGAAATGTGTCTTGAGCACCAAATCAGCATATTAGAATAAGTTCTGAAGGATCATGTGACACTGAAGTAATGGCTGCTGAAAATTCAGCTTTGCCATCACAGGAATAAATTACAATTCAAAATACATAAAAATAGAAATCAGATATTTTAAATTGTAATAATATTTCACAGTATTACGGTTTATTGATTAAACAAATACAACATTGGTGAGCATAACCAGACAAAAATAAAAAAATAAAATAAAACAAAGTAGTAAATCTTACCAACCTCCAACTTTTGAACGGTAGGTTTAGAAAGGCACTCCAGAAGATTTTAAGATCACAGAGGCCATTAACACAGCATTATACCAATTATCTTGTATCCTGTAATTAGCTTGTACAAGATTACCATTACAATATGTAATACTCCTGATAGAGCTAATCTCCCCGCACAAATAAAATGAGTGAAACGTCTATATCTCCCCGACTGACGTCTCCCGTGACCGGCTGTCATGCAACAGGGAGTGAGAGATGTTCCCTCCAAAGTGTGGAACCAAAAATCTCATAGCATCATAGTTTTTTTTATAATATAACTTATAATATAATATAGTTAAGCATGTATAAGCACAAAGCATTATGTCCATCAACATCAACTGCCTCCACAAAGACACAACTCCTCAACAATAGTTAATTGATGTTACTAAGACATGAAAGGAAGTCGAGTGGTTCAACCAAAAACTCCCAAGATGTTTTGAGCGGGAACTCCCATCTGACTTACCTACAGGGTCCACGTGGTCTAGATGATCCACAAAGTCCCTCTTCCCCAAGTATACGGTGAGCTGGAAAGAGTAAAATCAGAGGCAAGCACAAGTTTGAACATGCTACACAAAAGACCCTAGAGATAACGCAAAAAGCATGCAGTGCCTCTATCTAGAAACTCGCACACAAACAATATAACAAACAGCCCAAGGCATGCCACGCTGACCCCCAGATGATCTATTCCCTTCCTGAAGACAACTCTTCTAGACGGCGTGATGTTGAAACACATCCTCCACATGCAACACGCTTTACATTATAGAGAATGAAAGCGAGAGATGAGATGAGGGGATAGAGATAAGGTAGGGAGGAAAATGGCCCGAATGCAAGCCGAGAGAAAGAGATTATAGAGGAAATAATGCTGTGATAACCAAAACTGTACTGATAAAGAAATAGTCAAAAGAAGAATGAAAAGACAAAAGCAAACAAACAACCAAATAAATCAAAAAAGAGTTTAAAGACACACAATTAAAAGGAGCTTAAAGAAGTGAACGGGAAGAGAAACACTAAGAGAGATGGATAGAAAATGAGGGAGGAGAAGCAAGAGAGAGACCGAAAAGGGAAGAAAAAGGTCCACTGAGACCTCTGAAGAGCCCACCTTCTACCTCGTAACATACTCTGGGGAATCTTACCTTGCAGTTGGGGCTGGACTTCTTGAAGACTCTGTAATGAGGGGAAAGAGAGAACGTCATTAAAAACGATGTCTTTAGCAGCATGGAAGTCTAAAGAAAAGATTAACTGCACAAGTTCCATGGTGGTATTTCAGAAAGACCAGGGCAATGCAATGCCAAATCCAGTAAATCAGAAAGGCTTTGTATTCCAAATGAAGCTCAGTTTACACTATCCTGCAACGTGTGGAATTCAGAATATGAAATATCACTTTTACTTTTTTTTCATCCATTAAGGGTACAAATTCAACGCCTGACAACTGAAGAAACAAAATAAAATTAAATAAATAAAAATTTTAAACAGTCGGCCAATAACTTTATCAGGAACCAAAATAGTTTAAACTAAAGAAAAAATAAAATCAGCAATGTTTTATAAAGGGAAGAACACAAAAAAATTTACACGGAAATTAATAAAAAACAATAAAAATAAATAAATAAAACTAGAAATTATCCAAAGATAAAAACAAAAACTAGGGATGCACCGATATGAAAATTTTGGCCGATACCGATAACCGATTATTCTTTATTTTTGAAAGCCGATAACCGATATGTTGGCCGATAAATCTATATCCAAATTGTTATATACTTTTTCACAAAAGGAAACATTTTAATAATCATTGGTCATTCTTTCCCATGCCATTACAAAGAATAAAATCTAGAGGGTTTAAGCTACAAAATGGACCCAGAAACACCATAACAGAATCAGAAACAAAAAAAAATCAAATAAGTGGTCTATATGACTGATGCACTGTATTCTAAGTTTTACAAAATCAACAGCTTTAAGTGAGGAACGGATCAAATTGTTATAGTGCAAGCATCATATGGATCAATTTTATTGCTGTTATTTTTTAGCTTGACAGCCTGAGTTTTTATTCAATTCCATTATATGGAAAAGAGTGACCAGGGTATTTGCATGCAAAAAATAAAATTTGAGCAATATTTTAAATCTCCCCAGAGAACAGGCATGGGATCAGGAAAAAAAAGAAGGAAAGTACAATATACAGTCATTTATTCCTTTATTGATTTTTTAAAATAATAATAATATTGTATATATATATTTTTTTATAATTATTATTATTATTCAAAATATTATTTTTCTTTTATTACTTAAATTACAAAAATTAACACATCAATAAAGAAATATATTACTATCGCAATAATACTACTGTACTGTAAAATAAAAGATTTAATAATAATAATAATAAAATATTAAAAACCTCTTTCGTTGACAACATATTTATTAAATGACTGTCATCATACTCCAAATATATTACGCCGCAAGCCTGTGCAATGCTGTCGAAGCCTACAGTATCCATGCATGTGATAAACATATTTAAAATGTATTTGAAAATGCAGAATTTCTTCTATTTTACAAAATTCACATGGGTCATTCTGGAACTTACGCAATCGGCAACCGGACGTTTTTTGTCTTATTGCAAGCAACTCGTCTCTGTTCTGAACTTGCACAAACTGCGTTGCAATGCAATCGTTTTCCAAAATGTCATTTATGTGAAAATATTTAGTCTGTAAACGCCTGAGACACTGAAGACGGACGCACAGAGAAAAATACTGCAGCAGGCAGATCACTCACTGTTCATGATGCACGAACTATTGGAAGAAAATCCTCAATACTGATTTGGGGGTTTATATGAATGTGTTTCTGAGGGGAACTGACTGTCTTCAGAAAAGTTTACGTGGTATTTTCTTTTAATCTCATCTCAGTCTGTATAGTTCATATTAAAGCAGTGTTTCAGCACAGCGCTGCTTTGTTTACAGTGGTAACCAAGGAAACTATGTATCTGGTGTTCCAGAAGCGCCTCCTGCTGTCAAGAGAGTGAATCTGCATCTCATTCAGAGCTTCTGCTGTTTTGTTCAGGTATGTAGTATAATTTCACAAAGCTAGTCAGAACATTCTGTTTTTGCTTCAAATTGGGTTATTATTAAATCAAATGATGTATATGAAATTATATCCAAATGATATGAAATGATATGTATATGAATTATATAACTGTAAATTACAGATTTAGGTTAAATAAAGATGTCAGTCTTTATTTTTCTTCTTTTTAGGAAACAAATCAAAGAAAAACAAACAAATTCTACAGTTCCTAATATTCTGTATGTTGCTCAAAAACAAAATGTATTGTGTTCAGCGGCAAAAGTTTCTTTTTTTTTTACCCAGTCATTTAAAAATAACACATTTTAGAGCTATAATGACAATACCGTGATATCTTGAAACAGTGATATTTTTGCTTAAGGTTATCATACCGTCAAAATCTCATACTGGCCCATGCCTAGTGGCAGTGGCTACTTTTGATTTATTCGTCCAAAATTGACAAATTCCGTGGCATTCCGCGTTATAGAGTAAATTACGTTTTTATGAATGGACTCCGCGATCCCGTCTGCGTTTTCGCAGGAACCATACAGCCCTAGAAATGTAACCACGCTTCACAACATTTCGTCTTGCCCTGTGTGTTGATTGAATGAGTTGCAGGGGTGACATCACGTCACAGGGTCTCTCTTTCTCTCTCTGTAGCGTATGCGCCCAGATGCGTTCTCAGGTACCGAAATTTGGCACCAATTGATTTAACGTGAATCGGTACTCGGTAGTACCAACTCAATTCGGTCAGTACCCTTAAAAGTACCGAGTTTGGTACCCAACCTTACCATACGGTCAAGGCTTTTATACTTGTTGCGTTCGCCGTTGTACTATTCTTTGAAACAACAGGGGGCGACGAGGAGTAATTGTCCTCTAAAACCATTGGGAACCACCGGTGAGAAGAAGCCATTTGCCGGTACGAGATTTCTCACGTGATGAATGAGTTGATGAATTTATAATTTCTTTATGTACAAACTGATTAAAATAATCTTAAGCTTTTGTGTTTATTTTGCATCAAAACCAAGACAACTTTAAGCAAATAGTATCTAAATAAATTCTATACAATAAATACAATAAAAATAAAACGTACTTCAATTAAAAAGCCTTGGACAAACAAAAAAAAAAACTCTATATTGTTTTCCTTCAAAGCGTTGAAAGTTGCACCTGGTGGAGTTTGAACTTAACATCAAACTGCTTCTGTTTCACACAAATGCCGGCACAGACGTGCATGTTCGGCTAGAGTCGCTTTGAACTCATGCATCTTCGGAAGCGGAGCTGCGCGGAAAGTTACAAAAAAATGTTGAGCACACCGCCATGCGAAATGACGTTGCGCACACTCAAAGCGAACTTCCCCCAACACCGCGATGACGTCATATTTGCCGCGTGCACCTAAGCGAACTTGCGGACGAGTAGAGTATAAATCAGCCTTAACTGTGTGCGCGCGTGCAGCACCGGCACAATCACTTGAATTTTTTCCTTCTAACAGTGGAAGCAACTACTCCTTTTAGTCAAAGATAATCAGAATTGTAAAAGGTTTGCTTTTATTTGTGTACATTCACAATAAAAACAAATCTTTGTGCTTTTGTAAAACAAGCCTAAAAAAAATAGGATGCTGCTTTCTGCGGTCTGGTTTCCTTTCGCGCAGCACAAAAATGAACAAACTCTGTATATAGGCTTCTTGTTGCACAGTTTTTCTTTCGTTTTATTAATTTATTATTCAAGTAAAAATATATTTCTCGTATAGGCCTATTTATTATTTTTATAGTTTTATTATTAGATTTATGTTTATATATTTATATATATATATATATACATACATAGCCTAGCTTTATGATAATATTTTTATGAGTTTTGTCCTTCAAACTAAAGTACTGTTGTATAAATGAGTTAGTGAATCCTCATGTTCTGTTGTTTGCTGCTTTTTGCGCATGTAAAATAAATCTCAGAGAAACAAATGTTAGTATTTTTAACGGTTCACAGACACTTATCCTTTCTAATTTAATTCAATTCGAATTTAAAATAATCTTGTCGGTTAACGGTTAACAATCGGTTAACGAGCGTCAGTTGTTGGTTAGGAAAAATAACCGAAATGAACATCCATAGTCTCACCCTGCTCTGAGAGGAGTGGCATCCCAGAGCTCCATCTGTTTCGAATGACAGAGAAATAACAGCATGTGCTTTCTCCCTCTTTATTCCTTTCCCTTCTTTTTTTTTTTTTTTTAGAGTCATGCTCCCTCTCTCGCTTTCTGAATCACCATCCCTCACTTCATTATGTCATCTATGCATCCCACTCCAAACCTCTATAAACAGCCTTTTCTCCAAGGGGTGGTCCCGCTGGCCACTGACGGAAGATGCTGTAACTACGTCATTAAGGAGACAAAAGCATCTTTTTTCCACTGACGGCCATTCAGTAGTAGACGTGTCCTAAATACATAGTTTTTACTAGCAAAATGCATTTAAAAAAATATATCATCGTGCCCAAATTGTTCAGCATGGCCATTAAAAGCTGACTGGCCCAAAAATAAACCATTTCTTTAACTGCTGTCTTTCATGTCACAGTTTAGAACAGTCATTTAGCGAAGGGCCTGTGACAGTGTTGCAGTTAGCGCTGTCATGATATAATTTACCTGCAGTTTCACAATAATTAGCCACATAACGTTTATGGTTCAGGTAATTACAATAATAAGAGATAAATGAAACCGTATCCAGAAATTAATGCCTATGAGAAAATATAGCAAAATAAGAAATTAATTTAAAAAAAATTTTTTAAACCAAACAAGTGCACAGTCACTGGAAATGAGTGCACATAAGCAATCCGTGCCAAAAAAAAGATAGACTCCAGAAATCAGTGCCCATAACGAAAGAGCGACAGACAGAACGACAGACAGACAGATAGACCCAGAAATGTGGCTCTATATACAGTGCTCAGCGTTTGAAAAGTAACATTTTAAACAATATCTCAATGAACACAAAAACAATTTCCAAAATGTTGACAAGACCAAGTTTAATATAACATCTGTTTAACTTATAACATGAAAGTAAGGTTAATAATATAACTTAGAGAACAAAATTTTCAGTTTTACTCAAATTAGGGTGATGCAAAAATGAGTACACCCCAC